ACGACGTCATCCAGATGATATATGATAGTTATTAGACGAATGGAGCAAAGATTACGAGAAAATGGTCAAATGATGCCGATTTATGTAAATCGTGGAAGACCGCGTGAAGTTCGTACTCCAGCTTTAGAGGAAGCTGTTTTGGAAGCTATTGAAAATGCACCAGGGCGAAGCATTAGAGGACTAGCACGAGAGTTTGAAGTAGATTATAGAACGATCAAGCTATATTTGCTGATGAACATTATCATCCTTATCATTACATCAAGGGACAAGCTCTTCGTCCAGGTGACTACCCTGCCAGGGTGCAATTTTGCGAATGGCTTCTTCAACGTCATGCAAACGACCTTAGATTTATTGACAACATTTTATGGACAGATGAGTCAATTTTCTCTCAGGATGGTGTATTCAACCAGCACAATAATCACTTTTGGGCAACTGAAAACCCTAAAAAGTATCGATAGATAAGATTTTATATACTTATTATTGGTTTTACCAACGCTGCAAAAGATACAAAGATACATCTATTGATAAAGTTGAAGCTGTAAGCGAGAATTTTTAACTATTAAATAACAAAATTTGTCATTGCGAAATCAATGAATTGTAGATAAGATTTTATCAATTTATTAAGATCAATAAATAATTTAAAAGCCTTTTGTTATTAATTCCGCTCTCAAAAAATGAGTAACTGTTTTGATGTACCTACATCCACTGCGACAATGTCTTGGTCTTATTTTATAAAAATGTGGCTCATTTTCCTAGCTGCAAACCTTCTTGTCCAGCTTATCCTGCTCTAATATAATATGTTTACAAAATATGAATTTGTCAAAAAATATTTCTTAAATTAAAAGCAGAAATATTGAGTAACATCTTTTTATTTATTTTATGAAATCAAGGACATGTGACTCCTGTCTGAGCTGATGGAGCTTATTTTCCTAGTTACAAACCCTCTTGTCGTTTGAAAATAATATTACAAATGTGTATCAGCAAACGTAGTGAGCGGAATTACGAGGACGGTCTGAGAAATTCGTGGCCTGTCAATGAAAGAACACATTTATAAATTTGAAAGTATTTTTACTTTTCTACATAATCTCCCTGGAGCGTATAGTGCTCCAACTGCTGGTTCGTTTTTATGACCTTATACTATTGTGAAGGAGTTAAGTGTTTCACAATAGCCCTCTGCCGTAAGTAATCCAGCGGTCATAAACCGTCAAGGGACCAACTGTCTACACTACACAGGGCCGTATGCGCCCATAAACCTCTAAGATGATTTTATGGCACGGCTATTTACATTTTCAATAGAGTTCCTAATACTTGCGGTAATTGAGATTGCAGTGCCATAAAAACGAAGTCAGAGTTGGACCACTATACTGCACTGGGACTACCGATGCTCTTATGCGATTATACCTTCCCTACAATGGTTTTCTGGAAGGTCTGCAAAATAACCCTCTACAGCTTCAATAGCTTCAATTCAAATTGGGCGCATATTCCAACAAATTATACTATAAATGTAGATACAAATATTTCGTGCTAAAATTCGATTGTATCTAGATACTTTATTTAGATACAAGTCACGGAGGTAGAAGGGACCGGAGGGAAGGTGTCGTGAATTTTGTGACACAGACTCAGGCACCGTTTATGACCCTCCTTGAAATGCGCGCTATGCTAAGCTCCACCCTCTAAATGTTTAGCAGGCGTAACCAGTGGCGGGGCAACATATTTAATGTTGACTACCTTATATATAAGTCTCTAAATGTTATTATGATCTTTAGTTATAATCAAAGTCTATTCAAATTAAAAACACCAACAACACGTCCAGAACTAAAACAGCACAACTAAACTCAAACTCAAGAACGAACAATTGTATATAAACAGCACGTGTTACGTGGTAGTACGCCACTGGAAATCCAAAACCTGTCAGCTGTTGAGTGTAGGAGCGCGTTTGCGTCGGGCTGGCAAGTATTGGCGCCTTGTTCAAATAAGATCATAACCGGTGTCTGACCGGGTCTTGAACGATGCCAGAATCGTTACATTGCTAGCATACGGTACGCTCCCTCCGGTCTCTTCTACCTCCGTGATACAAGTAAAGATTGTCCAGAATTATATGAATTTTATGGACTCCCAAAGTTAATTTGTTTTACAGCCCTGTCCTCTATTTTATTGTACAGCTGAAGCGTTTGCTTGTAAAACTGCCTGTCAAGGAAAACCACCGGATGTTCGCTACGCGGTCGGTCAGGTAGCAAACATACAAATAATAACAAACAACGTTTTATTCATCATCGCTCTCACAATCGCTGTCGCTTAGATTTATAATTAATTCCTTTACAAATTTAGATCTGTACGTTTCCTCAATTTTTATTAGATGGTTTATACAATTATTCCACAATTCGGTATCAATTTTCTCAACTTCGTGTTTAATAAGTTCGACCGTTTCTGCACTAAATTTAGGGTTTTTATTATTTTTTCTAATATTTTTTTTAACGTTGCCCAAATTAATTCAATCGGGTTAAAACAACAATGGTGTGGAGGTAACCTAATTACTTGATGTCCCATCTGTTTAGCAAATTCGTCTATAACAAATGTTTTTTCAAAAGTAAAACTTTTTAATACTTCAATTAATTGTTTTTTTGTATAAGATTCTTCTAAAAAAATGTCTTTTTCGTAAAAAAAATCCATAATTTCACGTTTATTACTGGCAGTGTTGGGAATTTTTTCACTTACAACTGAATGGTAGCTTGCGTTATCCAAGACAATTACACTATTTGGCTTGATATTTGTTAAAAAACCTTTAAACCAATTATAAAAAAGATCCCCTGACATATCCTCGTGGTAATCTGATTTCGCGTCTTTTATTGCTTTCGTTGATACCTGCCAGACTGTCCGGTACACGGCGAATTTGGGTACCGGAAACATCGGCTTTCCCCTGACAGGCTCTTTAGCTGTACAATGAAATTGACGACAGGGCTGTAAAACAAATTAATTTTGGGAGTCCATAAAATTCATATAATTCTGGACAATCTTTAAAAGGAGTCTATGATAAGCGCACGTAGGAGATGATAGACAGAGAGCTAATACATAGAGCTAATGTATTGGAAAGAAATAGGACAAGTTTACGTCCCCACACCACAGCCTCCCTTTCTCTGAACAGTTTGGGATCATAACATAGTACCATAAATAATAATTGACAAAGAGTTCGCAAAGGAATCCAACCGAAATATTTATACAATTGTTTACTACCAGTACAAATAATTATTTTATTTTCTACTGAAAAGCGCATAACTATATTAAGTACTAGATATTATGGAGTTAGGGGTAATCAAATAGAGATTTGAAATTTGGTACTCCGTATTTCGTTCACAATTCACTATTTAACAATGGAAATTAACAATGCAATATTTGGATTCTACAATTTTTAGGTAAAATCAATGACTGCAATGAATTTTGTCAAATGCAGATTTTATATAAAAATAAACAAAAATAAGTTTCTCTATTTCGAAAATATTTAGAAAAAATCGAATCAAAACATCAATAACGTAACATTTATTTTTCATTATACTTAGTTAACTACTTCACCACGCGATTTCTAATATCGTATCAATTTTTCATTTATTTCACATTATGAGTCATTCCCATATTAGGACTTGTTCTGCGCGTGAAATTGATTAAGAAATCTATATCTTAATTATCTCTTAAAAATGTATCTATTATCTGTAATTTTATTGATGTGGAAATATCATTTCTACAAATAAGAATACTACAAAAAATTGTGAACTCTTTTACAGGTATGCAGCATAATGAATCGTGTTCACTAAAATTTTAGAAAAAATAAGTTCAATCATTCCCGAGAAAACATTAAATAAATATGTTACTGTTAAGTAAAAAATTAAATTATTTGTTTATCGAGCAACAAATCTATTTGAAATTTAAATTTGTAAAATTTCGAATCTAATCTAATTTGAACCTCAATCATTCTTAAAAAAAAATCGAAAAATCGAAAGTATTTGTAACATCGATAACAAAAAAAAGAGTTGCACAAATTACAGTTGTTTTTTTTTTTTACTTCAGATTCATCAAAATTGTTAAGTCTCTTTTTTATTCGTTTCACATTATGAGTCATTCCCATATTACTTGTTCTGCGCGTAAAGTTGATTAAGATTTCGTTCCAAACCCCAACTTAACGCTGCAAAACAAAACAGCAAGCGAGTACCTATAAAATGAATAACGGTACTGTGTCGATTTCTGCTTGGACATGGGGCAAATCCGCACTCAGTCTAAACCTGTGGTCTAAATTATGTTTCGCTTCGCTATGGTCTATGAGCCAAACCAGTTCTCAGGTGACGGTATATACTATCGTGCAAGGTTAGTTAATATCTATTAAATGACTTTGCTATCGTGGAACGAAACAGTAACTGTGGAAACTGTAGTGATTATTAATTGTGGAACGACATGCACTTTTAACAACGATTTATTGAATATTATGTACATGTCAATATATATATATACTTGATAATGAAACATTTATGTATTTTTGCGACGCGTGCCCGTTGACGGGTTGTTGGTGACTCTGGTCCGCCACCCGTTCGTCCAGGAAGGCGGTGATGAATAATTTTGGGGGTGGTACCGAACACCCGACGAGAGCCGAGCAGCCGAGAACTCCGGGTGGTACCACACAGTAACTTAACGACGAACATTTATATTTATTTGTTCCTATATTGACAATACTGAGTGCTCGTCTTGGCGCCAAATTTAATTTTTAAATCGGGACACCATAACATTTTTTCAAGCATAAAAGTAAGTATAGCCCCTAGAAAACACATAGTATCGTCACCGTGGAGCAAACCTGGCGGAAACTTAACAAAACCAAAAATTGTTAACACCTTTTGACAGACCGCGAAATTTAAAATAGTTTTATGTTGGATATAAAGTTTGTAGTTTATATATATATAATATATTAATTGACAATTAATTGACTTTAAACAAATAGACCACACCAAGACCACATGACAACAACGGTTTACGCACTGTCAACCACCTGTCAACTCTCTGCTGACACAATTTGTTTCCAAACCAGGGTAATTTTTTGCGTTACCAACTGCATTTGCTCCACTCGTACAACAATGGATGACGATACTATGTATTTCTAGGGGCTATACATAAAAGTTGTACAAAAATCAACAATAACATCGTGACTTAATAGTACCACCAGAGATTGTAACTGTATTGTTCTCTACGGAAGGGCCAACTTTTCTGCTCGTTAGTGATATTGTATTTTTTGTGTTGGCTGCTGATCGTACCTCACTAGAACCAGTTATGTTCTCAAGTAGACTTATCATACGACGAGCTACATCATCAAACACTTCTCTAATTCCCTTTAAAATAAAAAACTTAGTTTTGCTAGCATTACACTCTTTAAGCATTACTTACCTCACCTTGCTGCGCTGAACATTCGTAGTAAGAAGCACTTATACTTTCAGCGTAGTGCTTGGCTTGGTTTTTGGTGACCTAATTTTTTTTTGTTATTGGTAAATAAAATCCACAAAACTAGTACATACATACTTCTCTTTTTTTGTCTAAATCAGTTTTGTTTCCTATCAAACATAAGACCATCGGAGATGCATTATTTTCCAATTCTGCAAACCATCTCTTCATTTTTTCAAAACTCTTCTGTGAAGTGATGTCAAAAACCAATAAGGCAACCTTCGCTTCGCGGTAATACCGAGGAATTATGGAGCAGAAGCGTTCTTGACCGGCGGTGTCCCATAACTTAAATGTTATAGTTTATTTTTTAAAGGAAGAATTGTGTACAATTTTTACGTGGAATTTGAGAGTCAAATCAAAGATGTCACTAATGACATGTTTACAAGTGTAGAGATCACACCCCATGGTCATGTTCCCATTATCCTTCCAAGAATTTTCAATATAACGCTTTATAATAGAAGTTTTTCCCGCACCTAAAAAAATTAAATAAATATCCATATGTCTTAGATTAAATTCCGCAGTCTTATCTCCTTAGAACGGATAGATATCTTGTAACCTTTAAACGCCATTGTTTTCAGCTTGAAAGGGGAATGTTAATTTAGTACTCCTATATTGCAAATATAACGCTCAGACGGCGTTGGCGTCACGGTGCAAACTTTTTTAAATTAAAACGTACCTATATGTTTTTTATAGATTTTCATTTCACCGACATCAAAACGGGAAAATAATCTAGATATATGGAACGGTAAAAGTGTATCGTGCCAGTGGGTACCACTACCTTCTGGCTACTATTGGTTGATTTCATTTACGCAGTTGCGAACTGACATTTCTTATTAGTTCAAATCAATTAATTATATCACGGGCGTACAGCATAAGATCAGGAAACTTAAAGTTTAAAATGGTCTTAAAAAAAAACTGCCGATGTGTTATGTACCCAAATTTGTGGACAACTTACATCCAAAAAGTCATAGAAATAAGTCTGTTACTGACGGAGTTATTACATTTTGTAAATTGTAACACCTGGCAAGCGAAAAAGGTGAGGACTTGACTTAATAGCTTGTAAATAAATATAGATTGTATGTTTATGTTACCTGAAGGCCCCAAAAAAATCACTTTAATAGGGTTGGCCCCCATTTTAAATAACCAACACTGTACTTAAACTATTGAGACTTAATGAATAAACTTGTTATTGTAAAATCAGTTATGTACAGATTACAGTAGAGATTTTATTAAGATAATAAAGTATTCACTATCTCCAATTTACCAATACCGTCAAAGATAGATATCGCTGGGATTTGTTCTATAAACCAAGTAACCCATTTCCAGCAGCATCATCCTACTTTCTGGTCGACTACATTGCTGAAATGATTTTAATTTTTAATGCGGTTGAAGATAAAAAGAAATGTGGTGTCGTGGGACACCAGGTAGGAACGAAGTTCCTTTGGCTAATGTAGAATCGACACAATTTGCAAAAAAAAAACGTGCTCAATTTTATGTAGGTTTTCTTGATTTTTCTCTTAAATTTTGCTGATTAGTTTTTATTTAAGTACAGGAAAGTATTTAGGAAATTCAGTATTTTAGGAAATAATAAATTACGTAAAATAGGTAGAATTATCAAAATATATATATATTTAAATGTTTTGAATTGAAGGGAGAATTTGTTTTAATTATTTAAAAAAATAATCAATAAACTTTTTAAATATTGTCATTAGTTTAGAGGATATCTTTGCTTTATATCGTACCTTTATTGCTTATTTTCATTTTTTTTAGCTGTTTCGCGTTCCCTATCGCTTTTTGATACTCTGCTTTGGTTTTTGGTGGTTTTGCAGTACTAAAAATGATTAAATATAAATAGAATTATTAATAACATGTAGATATATATATTTGGGACAGAATTAACTTTTAAAAAGAAATATTCACACACACGCACACACACACACACACACACACTCACACACACACATATATATATATAATCTCTATGAAGTTTCGTAGTTTTTTTCTCAATTTTTCCGTATGACCCCCAAAACAGCAAGAAAGATAACCTAGAAAACCTTACAAAGATTTTAGTATGTACACCAGTGGCGGCTCGTCATATGAGGCAAGTGAGGCGGCGCCTCACAGCATATATCTTAAGAACAGATTGATTTAATTTATAATTAAAAAAGAGCTTTCAATGCATTTTTAGTTACAAAAATATGTTGAAATGGTAAATCTGTAGATGATTTTTTATTTTTACACTTTCTGCGGACATTTTCCGTTGAATACTGTACGATTCATGCCCCGAATTCTTTAACTGAAGCGGCCAGAGCGTCGGTTCACTTGAGCCAATGAAGCCCAATCACAGACACGGATTTCCATGACTCAGCTGCTATACTCCTATACATGAATTCCCTCGCAACTGAGGCGATATCTTCGATGCTTCTCGGCCAATTTCGGCGGACCCATTAAACCATTTTCCCATTTATTTTACAGAATAGAAGGGATGTAGGGTGCGTGGGTAATTAGCATAAACGTGAATAAAAGTCCAGGAGTTGGTGTTTCGTGTTTTTGTCTCTTTCATAGGTACAGGGTACAGGTGAGTGAAACATGAATCCCGAGTACGATATTGTCATGTTGCTTCTTGAAACGCCGTTTTCACGACGAACCGAGTTAGAACGTCGGTAAATTTTGCTAAATATCGAACAGTCAAAACCGTTAAATTCCATTGATAAGCGACAATGTCATCAGTACTCCAGATCTTTTAAACCAGCCTGGTACGAAACATAAACGGCTCTGCCGTAGCTGTAATATTTATGCTGAAAGTCTATATTGTTGGCCGTGTCTACTCTTAGGCAATGTAAAAAACACATGGACGACGTCTCCGAGATATAACGATTTAAAGAATTTCATTCGAAGTGCAAAGTTACATAAAAGTTCCAAAGTACACATTAAAAATTTCATGGGCTTAAAAGATTTAGAAAGGAACACAACAATTGCCGAATCCCTCCAAGAAAGTGCTAGTTTAAACAAAATTTTGACTTGTAAAAACATTGTTGATTAAATGTGTTATGGGTGTTAATATTATTATTATTATTACTATTATTAGGACCCACTACTGACGGGGAAATGAACGGTATTCAGGCAAGACTTCTATCATTACTGACTACTAAGACCAAGTAATATGCATTAATCACATTAATTTAATTAATTTTATTATTGATAATATTATTGTCAAACTTCTATCATCGCCTCACCACATCAGACAGTCACGAGCCGCCACTGATGTACACACAATATTAACCAATGTAAAATATTTTATATTTATAAATAAACTAATACTTACGTATTTAATTCTTTTGCACTGAATAATTTCCCACTATTATCACTGTCAATTGCATTCAAGTCACTTGTTAGTTCACTTGCCATTGTTACTATATTTATTATTGTTTTGACGATTTGAAATTATATGAAAATAAACGTGGCTACTCACGAGTAAAATGTATCTATAATGTGCGTATTCGCCACGTGCTTGTCCATGAATTCATGAGTATATACTATGCATTGGCGGGGTGGAGTGGTAATAGAGAGAGAAGGGATGAGAGAACGAAAAGAAAGAGGGAGAAAGAGAAAGTTATTATCCACTACTCGCTTGTGTATACGACTGTCGCGCCTGCGCACGTCTCATTTAACTGTTTTATTCCACGGATTTTTCTTACGGTTTTACTATCACATTTGTTTCAGTTCGGTCGCGCGCAGCAAAATCCCTATCTCCTCCAAGCCTGCCGTAAGGAACTTCGTTCCAATAAAGTATTCACAATCTCCAATTTACCAATACCGTCAAAGATAGATATCTCTGGGATTTGTTCTATAAACCAAGTAGCCCATTTCCAGCAGCATCGTCCTACTTTCTGGTCGACTACATTGCTGAAATGATTTTAATTTTTAATGCGGTTGAGCATAGATCGTTGTTGCTTTTCTTGGGGCGAAATTTAATTTTTAAATCGGGAAACCACAACAGTTCGGACTAACCGCACTGCCAAGTGCTGTGCCCATTATACTTAAATTTTCAGTTTCTTCATTTCTTGTACACTTGTTCCCAAACAGTCTTTGCAACCCACGAACTACATCATCAAAAATAACCTCAACCCCCTTTAAATTAAAAAACTTAGTTTTATTTAACATGATGTTCCTACATTACCTGATCTTGCTTTGCTGAACATTCGTAGTATGAAGCGCCTATACTTCTGACATATTGATAGGCTTCATCTCTAGTGACCTAGCAATTTTTTTTAATTTAATAAATAAAACAAAGCGAAAGCAATACATACTTCCCCTATTTTCTCTTAAATCAATTTTGTTTCCTACCACACATAAAACCATCGGACTTTCAACAATTGTTTTTAATTCAGCAACCCATTCTTGTACGCGTTCAAAAGTCTGCTGTGACGTGACGTCAAAAACGATTATGGCGGCGTTTGTTCCACGGTAAAACATGGAGACCACGGATCTTTAGCGTTCTTGACCGGCAGTACCGCATATCTTAAATGTTATGTTTTTTTTGGTTAAATATTGTAAAATGTATCTACCTGTAATTTGATGGGGAAGTTATCTACCACAAGTCTGTGAACGAATAAAGAACCCCCCACGGTTGGTTTTGTGTATTCAGGTAAGATTTTTGAACATAACGAGTAATAATACTGTCAATCAGTAACATATATTGTGTGTTTAGTATACCTTAATTCCCTAAAACAATTACTTTATGGCTGATTGTCTTCATCTTAAACAATTAAAATTAAAGTAAGGTAACCAACACTTCACTATCGATAAAATGTGAAGATTGTGAAAGAAAAATTTATATATAAGATTTTATATATTAAGATTAAGTTATTCACAATCTAGAGTTTGGTTTTCCAGTGCTGTTAAAAGTACATGTAGGTACATCATACATATTGATAAAGTTACAAACTGTGACACCACACTAGTTGTTTTTCTTTCTATTTTTGTTTATTTGATTTTACTTCTATGCATTTTATTGTACTTAAATTGCTCATTATAACTCAGTAACAAGTCTCTGAAAAATGTAATTCTAATAACCTACAATAATTAGATGTATGTAATTTTTAATGGGACAAGTAGAGAACAGTGAGTGGAAGACTTAGGCCCGGTTGTACAATCGCTGGTCAAAAGTGCTGGTCAGCCAACTTGTAGTTACAGTTAACTAATAGTTCCAACTGTTGGTTGGGGAACTAGAAGTTAATATTAAATTTCCTTTCGTTGGTACACAACACTGTACTTGTAAGCATGCGCGGCGAGTCAGCTGTTCGCTCGCATTGTTAATCTGTGTTGTCATATTTTGTTGACGTTTTGAATACACGCGTTATATTAGTTCCTTGTTTTTTTTTATATTGTGATTGAAAATTGCAATAACATTTTCTTTTCATAAAGTTATTGTGTATATTGTCTACAAAGGTATGTAACAATCAAATAGCACTATATTAATTGTTTTAACAATATTTTATAATGTACAAAGTATTTGATTACCTATATAATAATTGTGGAATGGATAAAAAAGACAGTAGTAAGCGAAGCGCAAATTTTTCGAAAGAAGACGAAAGTTTACTTATCGATATAATAGCAGAAAATAAAGATGTCATAGAGAATAAGCAATCTGGGGCTCAGCACTGGAAAGATAAAGAAAAGGCATGGGAAAAAGTGACCGATTTGTTCAATGCCAATAGTACTAGTGGAGCCAGATCTACAAAACCATTGAGGGACAAATATAACAATTTAAAGAAAAAAACTAAAGAAAAAAATTCAAAAATTATTTTGAGCTTTAGAAAAACTGGTGGAGGAGATAGCGAAGAAAAAGAGCTGAATCCAGTAGAAGCAAAAGTTAAACAGTTAATGGGTGTCCAAGTTGAAGGGCTTCCCAAGTAGTTATGACTGTGATAATGAAATAGGTATACCTATATATATGTTAATGATAACTTTCGACCTCAAATTCTCTCACGTATTTATACTTTTGGGCTCAAATTGGAAGTTTCGGCCTCGCCGTAGCTTTTGAGGCCGAAGTGACTCACACATTCAACGTAACATTTGGACTCACGCACATCCAGTGACATCTTTTAACAGTAATTTTAACAATTTTGGTTTGAGAAAAGATTGTTAAGTATAAAAGTTGGTTGCATAGATGATTTACTTAACAAAGCAAATATTATGACTAGGTTTTATATAAATACGGGAAGTTGTTTGAAGGTAGTAATTTCCAGAAGAATGTTGGAAATTTATCTAAAATTAAAGAAAATATAAAGCAACTGAAAACAGTTGGACAGTAGAAGAGCCAAAAATTCAGAAAGAAGTTAGAGAGTAAGAAAGAAAAAAAAAAGATACACAACAGCTATAGAATGTAAGAAACGGAAAGTTGAGGACATGGAATGAAGACAGGGAAATTTGGATGAAAAATTTTACAAAGAGAGTTGGAATTAACTGAGCAAGGAAGCATAAAGAGAAGGGGTGGTAATTATAAAAAAAAATAGAGAGGGAATGGAAAAGAAAAGCGGGGAGGACAAATGGGGTTTAAAATTGCTTGTTTGAAATATTGCATTATTAAGAAAAATAAACAGAATTTATTTAATGAGTACATAAAATTTTGATTTTGTGTGATTAACAGAAACATGGATACTAAAGAGTAAGGGGAATAAATTGAACAAGGAAAAAGGAAAAGTTGAGGGTGAAGCAAGTGGGGGATCCATAACAGGGGTGACAAAAGATATAAAACAAATCGAAGAGCGGGTAATAGAAGTGGAACGCATAGTGGAAAGAAAGATAAAAGAAAAAAAGAAATTGCATATTGTATTGCATTGTAATTACAAAAAATTTGAAGAAAAAAATTTAAGAAAAAATTGAAGAGTCTAACGAAGAATTTCTTCTGATAGGAGATGGTTTTAACGCCAAAATAGGCAACAAAAGCAGGGAATATAGCGGAGAACGCACAGAAAAATCTAAAGATAAAATTTTAAATAAAGACAGAAAATTTCTATGGAAATTAATTGAAGAAAGAGTTTGGTAGTCTTGAATGGGGTGAAGGAGGGGGATGAAGGTAAAGAATTTACCTGTATATGCAACCCAGTAGCTGATGAAGAAGCCGAAACATTTAAATTAGGAGAAAGAATTGATTCCGACCACATGCTATAAGAAGTAAAATTGAGGGATAGAAGTAGAAAAGTCGGAGTCACAAATAAGGAAGTAGATAAAAAGGAGAAGGGAACTGAGCATTATAAAAGATGTTGGAAATTGAATTCAAAAGAAGTAAGCTAAAATAAAATAGAAGAATTAAAAACAACAACTGAAAAAGCAGCAATAAGAAAAGTATTTATAACGAAGAAATCAGAAAAGAGAAACAAATGGCGGGTTAATAGATGCAGAGATTTAAAAACATAAGAAAGAAAATGTTTACGAAGGTGTAAAAAGGGAAAGATAAAAAAGAAGAGTACTGTCCAGCAAGAAATAATAACAGGTCGGTGTGAAGAAAAAAAAGAAGAGATTCCGAAAGAAGAAATAAAATAAAAGCCATAAAATCAGAGCAAGAACCAAAATAAGGAAAAACAAAAACATGATCAGTGAAGAAATGCTAATAATACAATGGAAGTACCATTTCATGAAACTAATGAGTGGAAATGAGAGTATTGTAGCGCAAAAGAGTTAAACCGAGAATGCTGAGAGAGAAAGAATGGCCGAACATTACAGTGGAAAAAATATGGAAACAAGTTGGAGGGTCGAAAAGAGGGAAAAGACCAGGGAGGAATGGATTGGTAAATGATGTATGGACGTTTAGAACGGATGATTTGATTGAAAGACTCTGTGAAATAATGAATGAGATGTGGAAAAGTAAAGGTCTCCTCGAAAGTGGCGACAAGGACAAATATGTCCAATGGCGAGTATAAAGGAACCTAGGTACAATGGGGGTTATACTCGTCTAAAGATAATATCAGAAACAACGCCAAGGTACCTAGAGAGAGAAAGAACGAAGGAGAAAAAGTAATTGCTAGACAGAGGGGTGGACATGAAGAAAGAAACAATAACTTTTGCTTAAGCGAAAGCAGAAGAATATATAGGATGTGTGGAGAAGTGCAAGAGACTTTAGAATACATGCTACAAGACTAGGGCGAAATTAAAGAAAAAAGGAAAGTATAACAGAAATATTGAATGAAGATGGAAGAGAAGCAGGGTGGATGAAAGGAGTGGAAAAGAGCGGAGTAAGGCTGGAGCAAAGGGGATGCGATAAAGGAAGAAAATTGTAAAATCCTTGATTGTTGACCATTATTATTGCTATACCACACCAAAATAGTATAAATAAAAATAAATAATTGGCAGAGTGGTGAACTATCTAGCCTAAAATTATTTTCATCTTTTGTACAATTCGGCCTCACAGAATCGTAGAAAACAACTTTCAAACTTAAAACCCAAGCTAAAATTAACTTAATAGCAGTTATTTTAATAACAAATAAGAGAAATAAACCTACAAGAAAAAGTCATAATTGTGTTATTAATTATGAAGTAACTATTAAAAAAATCTAAAGATTGTGATGCCAAAAGTTACTTTAAATCAAATAATGGCTTTCATCCATAGAAACTTTTGGCCTCATAATTACATGACGAATAACTTTCGGACTCATGTGCTAAAATACATTAAAGTACAAGGTACATGAGTAAATCTAAAATCGGAAACCCAAAATTTGGTCAAATCGAGGCAGTAAAATTCATGTGAATCAATATTCGGTGCTATATATTCAGGCACACCCCCAAGTGTAAAGATTCAGATTTTTTCCATAAAACGAAACATTTTCTATAAGGTTAAGACAAAATTACGACTGTGAATGGTAGAAGTATCTGTAGACGCATTCATAAAAATATTTTTTATTCAAAGTTAAAGTGATAATTTAAATTTTTTAAATACTTGCTACTTAGCCAAATATAAAGGACGACAGGTCCAAAGTTGCTATAAATGAGCCAATTATTTTGAAATGTTTGTTTCCATATTAGCGTGGGTATAAATTTGGGTTAGGTAGTTCTGCAATCAACCAATTATTTATTTTTATTTATACTATTTTGGTGATACCAGTTTCAGGGTTCATCCCCTTCCTCAGCCACCTCGTCAGTAAACCTATAACACTTTAAAAAAGTCAATATTTGGTTAAATTTTTAGACTTATTAGTGTTAATATTATCAGGAATTTGATCTGCCGTTTTTTGAGCCTAAAATACTTGATTGTTGACCATTATTCTTGCTATACCACACGAAAATAGTATAAATAAAAATAAATAATTGGCAGAGTGTTGAACTATCTAACCTAAAATTATTTTCATCTTTTGTAGATTTTGGCCTCACAGAATCGTAGAAAACAACTTTCAAACTTACAACCCAAACTAAAATTAACTTAACAGCAGTTATTTTAATAACAAATAAGAGAAATAAACCTACAAGAAAAAGTCATAATTGTGTTATTAATTGTGGAGTAACTATTAAAAAAATCTAAAGATTGTGATGCCAAAAGTTACTTTAAATCAAATAATGGCTTTCATCCATAGAAACTTTTGGCCTCATAATTACATGACGAATAACTTTCGGACTCATGTGCTAAAATACATTAAAGTACAAGGTACATGAGTAAATCTAAAATCGGAAACCCAAAATTTGGTCAAATCGAGGCAGTAAAATTCATGTGAATCAATATTCGGTGCTATATATTCAGGCACACCCCCAAGTGTAAAGATTCAGATTTTTTCCATAAAACGAAACATTTTCTATAAGGTTAAGACAAAATTACGACTGTGAATGGTAGAAGTATCTGTAGACGCATTCATAAAAATATTTTTTATTCAAAGTTAAAGTGATAATTTAAATTTTTTAAATACTTGCTACTTAGCCAAATATAAAGGACGACAGGTCCAAAGTTGCTATAAATGAGCCAATTATTTTGAAATGTTTGTTTCCATGTTAGCGTGGGTATAAATTTGGGTTAGGTAGTTCTGCAATCAACCAATTATTTATTTTTATTTATACTATTTTGGTGATACCAGTTTCAGGGTTCATCCCCTTCCTCAGCCACCTCGTCAGTAAACCTATGACACTTTAAAAAAGTCAATATTTGGTTAAATTTTTAGACTTATTAGTGTTAATATTATCAGGAATTTGATCTGCCGTTTTTTGAGCCTAAAATACTTGATTGTTGACCATTATTCTTGCTATACCACACGAAAATAGTATAAATAAAAATAAATAATTGGCAGAGTGTTGAACTATCTAACCTAAAATTATTTTCATCTTTTGTAGACTTTGGCCTCACAGAATCGTAGAAAACAACTTTCAAACTTACAACCCAAACTAAAATTAACTTAACAGCGGTTATTTTAATAACAAATAAGAGAAATAAACCTACAAGAAAAAGTCATAATTGTGTTATTAATTGTGGAGTAACTATTAAAAAATTCTAAAGATTGTGGTGCCAAAAGTTACTTTAAATCAAATAATGGCTTTCATCCATAGAAACTTTTGGCCTCATAATTACATTATGAATATCTTTCGGACTCGTGTGCTAACATACAGTAAAGTACAAGGTACATGAATAAATCTAAAATCGGGGACCCAAAATTTGGACAAATCGAGGCAGTAAAATTCATGTGAATCAATATTCGGTGCTATATAATCAGGCACACCCCCAAGTGTAAAGATTCAGATTTTTTCCATAATACGAAACATTTTGTATGAAGTTAAAACAAAATTAGACTATGAATGGTAGAAGTATCTGTAGACGCATTCATAAAAATATTTTTTATTCAAAGTTAAAGTGATAATTTACATTTTTTAAATACTTGCTACTTAGCCAAATATAAAGGACGACAGGTCCAAAGTTGCTATAAATGAGCTAATTATTTTGATATGTTTGTTTCCATATTAGCGT